GTGTGTGTGTGTGTGTGTGTGAGAGAGAGAGAGAGAGAGAGAGAGAGAGAGAGAGAGAGAGAGAGAGAGAGAGAGAGAGAGAGAGAAAGAAAGAGATCATAGCGGGGCCACACTGTAATGAGCAAGTGAGCACAGTTTTTCTTTTTTTTTATCGCCTTGAAAACAGTACACATGGAAGGAGCACGACTGTCACCCCGAGGCATTCGGACCAGTTGCCGCACCGGTCTCATCAGGGGGTTTCCTCTTGCACACACCTCGCTTTAAGGGCCTGACGACTGTCCTGATTCGAACCTGATATGATAATGTACCATGTAGTAATGGTTTGAAATGCCAGTTTTTTTGGGGGGTGGTGGGTGCGTCTAAGTCTTTGAGAGAGCATAAGTTGCAGAAAAGTGACAGTGGGCATGCATTAAAACAAATAAATCAAAAGAGAACATACTACCTTCCTTGGCAATTAGCACTCAACTACTTTTTGCTAGAATTCTAGTGTGATCCCTCTCAGTTTTCCTTTGCTACACTTTTTTGGCACCCTTATTTTCTTGTAGGTTGATCCCTGGTTGAGTGTGAGCGCAGCGCATAACATTGGAGAGGCCGTACGGCGAACATTACGAGCAAAGAACTCCAGTATTGGCGAGGTTCTTGTTCATATTGGTAAGAAAAAAAAAAAAAAAAAAAAAAAAAAAAAAAAAAGAAGGATTGTAGAGTCGATGTCGACTGCCATCTTCACCTGCATACAACGCTTGGTCATTATCACTGTATCCAGACTAGAAACCCATGCCCGCTAGATACCCATGCCCACTTGAAACCCACACACAATCACAAAAACCCATATCTAAACCCTAACTGATTCCATTTGAGTGGCTATAGTACATGCACACATTTTGTCAACATCATTGCCAACCGCCACCATGTACAACCCATATGTCTAAACCCTAAACCCTAAACAACCCATCTGGAGCCGGTATGTAAACCCTGAACCCAAGGAAACAACCATGGAGAACCCATAACTGTCTTAAACCACTAGTACCTCCGCCAGTGTTGGGAAATTACTAATTAGGGAAAAGTGGACGTTTTCCCAAACTCCTGAAAATTCGGAGGCCGGGCCCGACGACGGCTGCCATCGATAAATCTGATCGGCGGCGGTCGTTCGTTTCGGCCATCTGAAAAGGTCGGAGGCCCACCCGAGGCCCTCTATTTTTCCACGCGGCAAAGGTACTAGTGGTTTAAGTTCTCTAAACACGAAGCCCTAAACCCTAAACAACCATGTAGAACCAGTAAGTAAACCCTGAACCTTAGAAAAGTGTTTGCCATATTGGACCACAAAAGCTAAAGGGAAACACACGTCTGGCTCTCACTCCGCTCTCCCGAGCAGACGCTTCCTGGGACCGAGACACCGTCCAGACTCCTACAGGAGGCAGTACAAAGGCTTGAAAGGCACATTTTGGTAATCGGACACCTGCTTCATACTTTCAGCAATATCTATATAGATTACTAAATGAAACCAAATATGTCTAAACACGAAGCCCTAAACCCTAAACAACCATGTAGAACCTGTAAGTAAACCCTGAACCCTAAAAAAGCAACCATGGAGAACCCATATGTCTAAACCCTAAACCCTAAACCCCAAACAACCATGTAGAACCAGTAAGCAAACCATGAACCCTAAAAAAAAACCATGGAAAATGTCTAAACCCTAAACCCTAAACAATCATCTAGACCGCTTACCTAAACCCTGAACATCCACGTAGAACCCATACCTGAACCGTAAACCCTAATCCTGAAATCCCTGAACAACCATGTAGAACCCATAACCCATACCAACTGAAACTCTAAACCCTAAATTCTAAAGCAACCATGTAGAGCACAAAGGGTTGTAAAAGATGGACTCCTTAAGGACACGAACACGCAAGCTGAAGGCATTGGACTAACTCAATAGGTTATCGTCTTCTTTCGAAGAAAACGCCCGGTCATTATCCCTGCATCTGGACTGAAAGTTGCCCCAAATACAGCCATAATGACCGGGAGTTCTATTCGCGTGGAGACGGCAGTCAGAAAGATTGACTCCTTTCACAAGAGGCTCCACCCTGTTTCTTTGTGAGCCGGCGTAACCAGTTACTACCCATACCTCCCATGGATGCCTATTTTGGGTCACATAAAGGCGCTTGTCATCTGGCATCGGGTTTTTTATGCCGCTTTTGGGTCGGTTGCCCTCCGTATGTTTGTTTTGTCTCCAGTTGAGGCCTGTGCGACATCGTGAAATCGCTCCTTTTTGCTCCATTTGGCTCGGACGTTAATGCTAATGCACCCTACCTCGGCCTACCGTTTTTTTTTTTTTTTTTTTTTTTTTTTTTTTGTTCACCCTATTGTCTTCCCCATAATATAGAACGCTCGGTTGACCCAAATGCTGCTATAATGACCGGGCATTCATTCGGGTGAAGATGGTAGCCAGAGACTGAGATTTCTTTGGAATCCTCAGCGACTTTGCACAATAATTCTCTCTCAAATGAAAGGAAGACACACGCTGGCCAGCACCGTCACGCGTCCATATTCAACCACTTTAGTCGACAACGACGGCTCTGAATTTTTTTTCTGAATTTTTTTTTTTGGAGTTGATTTTACTATTCTAAGTATTCTTTAGTAACGACTCTGAATTTTTTTTTTCTTCCCGTTTGCTTGTGGTGTTTGAGTGCGCTTGACGGATTGTTGGATTGTTTGGCGAATGTTTCGTATTTGATTCTTCTCCCCCCCCCTCCCCCCTGCCACAGACCCTGCTGATGGCCGCAAGCCAATGCTCACACCGGCAGAACTGGAGAGTTTGGGAGAGAGAGGAGGTGACCAAGACGCTCCGCATGATGTCAATGCTTCTCAATACATGTGTGAACAGAGAGATGATGATCTGACAACAGCGCACAGGCTCGGGGAGCATAACCACGCCGATCACACTCGTCACAGAATCAATGGTGCGGATTTAGCATCCAGGATCAGGGAAGCCACAGGAAGAAGTCAGGAGGAGGAGGAGGAGAAGGCTGCCTCCACCAGTCCACATTCTGAGACCTGTGAGTTGTCACACGGCAATCGGAAGCGTTGGTGGGAAATGAAGGATCCAACGGTCCGTATCGATGATCATGGTCATGACGCGAGGACAAAAAGTACTTCAAATCAAGGAGAAAATGGGGCAGATGGTCCTTGGTTCGGCCTCCAAGCGAATGTTGAAAAAAAGCTGAAAAGGATTATCAACGAGCGATTCCCTGAGGTAATCATAGAGCATTTCCAAAAAAAAATAAAAATTATTTTCAATGTGCAAGGAAAATGAGCGAGGGGGAAAATGACCAAATTCCAAATTGCAGTCCTTTGATACATCTGTTAAAATTGGAACGATACAGAGAAAGGAGATTAGCAGGGCCCCTGCGCAATCAAGGACGATACACATAAATTGAGAAATGGTCCAAATTAAAAAAAAAAGAAGAAGAAGAAAAGAAAAAAAATCCAAATTGCAACATCACATTAAAGCCAGATAGTCATGCGCTGTCCAGAACAAAGAAGGAAATTAATGCACCAAGCTACACAGCGAAGGAGACCAAGACAATGAACTCCGTTGTGAACGACAGCCCAATCTCGCCATCATCAACGATGCGTCCTTTGTCTTTTATTCTACGCGATGCTCAGCAGAGTCAGCACCCCGGGCCCGGACGACGATCACACAGCGTCTATAGTAGCCTAATCTAAATTGCAGCAACTGGAAGACTTCAGCATCTGACCAGTGTACATGAAGATGTCGCCCATGCAGACCTCCGCATACACATCAGGTACATATCTCTCTCCACTATCGACCTCATCCCCTGACTTGTCCCACTACAAGCTAACCTCGTGCCCAAGGACCACCAATATCACCCCACCAGCCACCATGCGCGATCGGCCTGGCTATGACCGAAGTGCAGCAAGTTCCGCCGGAAACTGCCCTCAGGAGCGTCCTCTCCCAGCACCCGTGCACGCTTCTTCCAGCCAGCGACTCGGCCTCCTTCCAGCGCACAAACAAAGCAGCTGCGCCGCACGAGCCGCCAGCCAGAATGGCTCGACTATGAATGAGCAATGTCCGTTATGGAAAGTGCTGGCCATGAGGGCCTACGTAAATGCTGTTTGCTGTTTGCTGTTTGCTGTTTGCTGTTTGCTGTTTGCTGCTATCTCAGTGGCCAACCATCTTCACCCGAATAGAACGCCTGGTTATTATAGCTGTATTTGGCACAACTTTTGGTCCAGATGCAGCGATAATGACCGGGCATTCTATCCGGGTGAAGACGGTAGCCAGTATCTTGACTATGGTACCCAGCCAGTATCTGGGCCCGGGGCGTTTCTTGAATGGGCCCTGGGCCCGGTTCGGTTAGAGGGCTCAACTGCCCAACGTGGCTGCTCCTGTGGTGCTATATTTTATTGGCCTGTAGGCCCTTGGCAGCCTCGCAGCTTAGGCCTCGGTGAGCAGGTCGTGCTCACACAGCACCAGCGTGCTGTAACTGTCTGGCATGAGACCTAGGCTCAGCAAACCCAAGAATGGGCCTCGTCCTCGTCAAGAATTCAGACCTACAGACAGTTTTCAACAGGCGCAGGCCTTTTGACACTCAATGAGGGCCTTATGCTTTGGCCCATTTCCCCGCTCACAGTGGCCTGTACTCAGGCCTAGGCATATCTTTGCAGGCCGCCTTAGGCTACGAGAGTGGCCCAGGCCCACTTGCCCAGCCGGGTTAAAAAAAAAAAAAAAAAAAAAAACCTAGGCTACCAGCCGGGCCG